ACGTTTGACTCGAAGTCGTATTTGAACAACCGGTGGAAGGCGTCCCAAGTGAACGTCGACACCAACTTGAAGCTGAACGGCCAACCTGTGGACAGACGCAAGTTCCGCAACCCCCCCCATGTGGTGAACGCGCACTACGACCCCCAGACGAATCATATTACACTCCCCGCCAGCATTTTGCAAAAACCATTCTTTGACGCTCAGTTTGACGCTGCCCAGAACTTTGGTGGCATCGGGGCGGTCATCGGACACGAAATTACCCACGGGTTCGACAACAAGGGCCGCAAATACGATGGCGACGGCAACTTGAAAGAGTGGTGGTCGTACGCCACCAGCACTGCGTTCAACACGAAATCCCAGTGCATTATCGACCAGTACGCCAACTTTGTCGTAAAGAGCGAAGTCAATGACGCTGTATTGGGCAACATCAGCGCCGTGATCTCTTTGGATGAAAACATTGCGGAGAACGGGGGGCTAAAGACCAGTTTCCGCGCATACCACGAGTACTTAAAGAAGTTCCCGTCCCAGTACACGGAAGAAGCAGGCGACAAGTTGTTCTACTTGTCGTACGCCCAATCCTGGTGCTCCAAGAGCACGGATGCCTCCCTCAAAATGACTATGAGGGGCAAGCACCCGCCCAAACGGTTCCGCGTGACAGGGGCGTTGCAAAACGACGCTGAGTTTGCCCGTGTGTTCCAATGCCCCACCGACTCGTACTTGAACCCGTCTAACAAGTGCTTGTTGTGGGAATAGGGTTGATCGATACGAAAATATGTGTAGCGTTGTGCATTCGTAAGGAAAACTAAGAAAACGATGTCTTGGTTGAAGTGTGTTGCTTTTCATGTGCGGCGCACACAAAAACTAACAGTAAAGTTAATGTATACTACTAGTAGTAAGTATGTGAGATCACCCTCGGATTCGCTTAGTTAGTGTAGTTGAACTTGAGATAAAGTCAACTACTCGACGGGTTTGGTGCGCGCAGACGTCGGGCTCGTAAGGTTGGGATTGCGCTTGGGGTTACCACTTCACTGTCAATGGATATTTGAAACGTAGGAATTCCCTAATGCTGTTTTGGCATGGAGTAAATAATTCAAAACGCGCAATACATAAACCGGTACTATTAATAAGCTTAACGTTACAGTTAGGATTGTCAATTCGATTCGAAACTGGAGGCCTCAGTAACGTTAGAATCGAATGTCTTAATATCCTAGTAGCCTGAAGAGAATGGATTCAAGAACAGCCTCAGGCAATCAAATCACGTCCAGGCGATTTTCTGCCAATCCAAACGTTTTATTTGACCTAATCCCTCCGCATTGGGTAAAACAACATATAACACAGACACGACACAAAACCGACAAAATTCGGCCCCCTGATTGGATGAACGAAAAATGATTGAATTCCAATTGGTCAGTATTTTTCCGACAATCTGATTGGACGAGGCAATTGTCGTAGCTGCAACATATCACTAACATGTACTAGTACGGCTTTATATTGGTTGAAATACTATCGAGCCAACATTGCACTGGAAACGGTGCTGATCAACATAAACAAAACGGCAAGCCGAACGAGTAGGGTTGCTGTTGTTATCGGAAGCAGTTAGACGGCGCCCCGCCATGATGCATGGGGACCATTGGTGGATTGGTGGGAGCCCTTGTGTAGCCCATTCGACAAAATAGTGTTTGAGACTTTTTAAACGTACGAATGCGGCTAAGAGTGATGGTTGCGCTTTAGGTAGGTCCTCGATTGAACATTACTGTAACTACGCCAACACCACCTTACCTCCAGTGGTACAACCGCCCCTCATTCAATAAACGACACTAACCACGTTCTCCAGATCTCCATCTCCATATACTTTCGCAGCGTAAACCACTGTACTTGTTAACATCTGCACAGTGGGGATGCTTGTAAACACTGTGTGACCTCCCTTCACTTTCTGCTCCCTTCCACCACAACACGAAATAATCATATTTTCAATAAACTACAACTATTAAGATCACTTATTTTGTTGCGAGCGACCCTACGGGTATCACAAAACATGAATTGAAGCTCATCACAGGGTTGATTGAGACGATGGGAAGTAATTACCAGCTCACAAACCTATTCTATGGTGGCAAACTCATGCATCAGTCAGTTATCAATGTCAATCTAGCAGTGCACAAGTAATCCAGCGACAGGGTTCTTTACTGTGAATGGTCACGCTCGCTGCGATGTCCACGGAGTGTTACTGTACTTCGGTGTCGTTGGCGAGCAAAAGGACCGAGGTAAGTAAGTATGCCTGATGAGTGGCTTGTGTTGCGCAAAGCAAAATAACCAAGGTAAGCTTAATTCCTCCACATAATTGAAAGTACTAGTACGTGTACGCACAGTACGTCGATTCATTCGAATAAACCAAGATATTTTACTTGGTCGTTGTATTGAAATGGAAGTGGCACCCGCCAATGAAAGCTAAGAGGCTCCTACTTTTAACCAATCAGGTATTGTCATCCAAATATCCGCCAAAAATATCCATGTCTGGAGCTGGTAATTTTTGGGGGAATGGGCAAAGTGCTTGATACCTGAAAAATTCAATTGTACTGTAGATGGAACGAGAATCAAAACACGATTGGACCTGTCGTGACGACATGGAGTCGACAACCCCTACACCATGTTGGCGCAGGCAGCACTTGTGGGTAGGGAGTTGGCGTGGTGTTTGTTCTATTCTACATAGGTTTGCACACAGGTGTACTCGTACATTGCAAGCCTTCGAAGACAGGTTGCACGAGCCGAGACAATTGCGGGATCAACGCTGGCAATCGATACCGCTGGTAACCGATACCGCAACTGTCTCGGCTCGTTCATACGGATTATGGGCAGGTGACATTCACTGCGAGCACTGTACCAGTATAACCAACTGATCTAGGCTTACGCACATATTTGCCCGAGTCCCGTGTGTCACGGACCGAGTAACGATATGATTGATTCACCGCTAGAGTGGTTGATTCCATCAGTACCAATCCAATGAGTGTAATTCACACACGGTGCACACGTTAATGTATACCAACAACTACCTATACAGTACAGTGTACTGAGTTCACTGATTCTTCGATATTATCGCGTACGAACATGTTTAGAACAAGTTCGGCATGTTCGAATACTAGTAAGAGAATGGATTAAAGAACCGCCTAAGCCAATCAAATCACGCTTTGTGAATTTCAGCCAATCCAAACGTTTAACTCGACCTAGTCCCTCCGCATTTGGCAAAACCATATACATACGGATATTTGTATTGTATAGTTTGTACAAGCTTAAATTTGATGAAATGGATTCGAATGCTATTTGGCGAAATGATTCACAAGTCCAAATTTGGGTGAAATGCACAATATATATATATATATCTGTATACGTATAGTTGTCGGATATATTTGTCGCGGTATAGTGTAGCCACCCACGTCATCTATACCGTAGTTGGTAAATCAAAAGTTGCCTGCTTTTGGCAATTGGTACAAAGTTTGACAGGACCGTTGTATCATGTTGAACTTGAGCCATCGTTTATTATAAGTTCCTTACAAATATCAAATGTCGGAAAAGACACGAATTTCGCACTTGAAGATTTTGTTTGAAAGGATATTCAAATTCACAAGTATAAATATTAGCAGTTCCCCTCATCCCGAAATCTCACAGTTCCAAGACACCAACGATGCCCACATCAACGTTGTATTGAATGGAATTGGGCGGCTATTTGATGGTTGTGCAATGGATGGAGTGAAGTAATTGGACGGAGTAAAGGGAATGGTTGAGATCGATTTTTTTGCCTCTCAAAAATGATGTCATGAAAAATTGCAGGTATTATTCCTCCAGGGTCTTGGTGTGGTAATAACTCTCTTTCTTAATTTTTGCTACCGTTACAAGCGCATAAAGTTATAGAGAAAATCCCACTTGGCACTCATAAGATCTGGACATATTTGATTTACGAACTACGGTACATACAAAGTCAGTACAAAGAATCGATCGATGGATTTGGCGAATCAACACAAATGTCCAAATTTTGGGTAAAAGGACAATACTATAGTATGACCTGTTAATAGTACTACTGTAGATCTCGGAGTACTAGTAGTATGACCAATCCTACTCTTAGGGTGAGTCTGGATGTCGAAGAAATGGGCAAAATCTACGATATTTTGGCAATTTCTTAGAAATCGGCAAAATATGAAAAATTATCTGTCTGGATCCAAAATTTGTAGAGTTCAATATTTTGCCAAATATCGCGTTTTTCGCCAAAAAATAAAAAAGAGGTTCAAGGGACTTTTTTTCTGAAAGTTGGCAATAACTGAAATCGTCGAGTTTCTTTCGAAATCAGTTTGATCCAGACAGTCAACAATAGATGACAACCGAATTCTTCGAATTACTTTGAACTAAATTTTCGAAATATTATTTGGGCAAAGATTGGGGTATGATCCAGACCCACCCTTAACGTAAAAGACCAGCTTAAGATAACTTTTTTGGAGGCGTCGGAGTAGAATGGACATAACTTTTGAGTCCGTTACGATATTTGAGTTTTGAGTAGTGATTCCAATAGACAAGATGCACCGCTTTCACTTCATAATCGAATTTTCAGTTTAGACGATGAATTTCACAGGTAAATTTGTTACTTTCTAAGCATTTGTACTCACATTTTGATAACCAATTT